AAGGCAGTTCTTATAGACAATATTTAGGGTATAGTCACTCATGGGTGTCCATATGTGTGTTCCTGGGTCTCTCTCATTTGTCAGACAGTTATCTAAATTAACTAACATTAATAACAACATTTGGAGTTCTGTGGTGTCGCTGCAGTAGATTACAGGTGTTCTGATGTGTTGTACTTCATCATTGAGTCAAAATCTTTATAACTGACACGCCCATCTCCATCTCTATCTAACTCCCTAGAAGACAACAGGAACAAAATAGAAACAATAAGCATTACATGGTGGTTTTTTTCTTAATGACAAAACCATTACAGATTCAAGTTCAAATTTCCTACACATGTACACAATGCTCATAGATATAATATTGTAATTTATCTATATGTTTATTTTAATATACATATTATATTTGTTGGTACATGTATTGCAACAATACTTCTTTTAATTCATGTCATATGTTTGGTATACTGCACATAAAAACATGTAACCAAGAGACCAGTGTCAGTAAGCTAACTATATTAACAAATCAATCTTCAAAAACAATGTTTTTCCAGAAATCACTTGTATATTTGTTGAATAAGAAAAATGTCACAGAGTTAATATGACATTATATCAACTGCTAAGATGACAAAATAATAAGTAAATAATTGTTTTTTTTATGAGATACTAAATTTACCTGAACATCAATGAACAGGAGTAAGTACCTGAATATAGACTGGGTACTGTGGTGAGTTATATGGGGTGAAACTACCTAAATAATGACTGGATACTATGGTGAGGAATGTGGGGTGTAAGTATCTGAATGTTGGCTGGATACTATGATGAGGAATGTAGGGTGTAAGTACCTGAATGTTGACTGGATACTATGATGATGAATGTGGGGTGTAAGTATCTGAATGTTGGCTGGATACTATGATGAGGAGTGTGGGGTGTAAGTACCTGAATGTTGACTGGATACAATGGTGAGGAATGTGGAGTATAAGTACTTGAATGTTGACTGGATACAATCATGAAGAATGTGGAGTGTAAGTACTTGAATGTTTACTGGATACAATGATGAAGAATGTGGAGTGTAAGTACTTGAATGTTTACTGGATACTGTGATGAGGAACGTGGAGTGTAAGTACCTGAATGGAGACTAGATACTATGGTGAGGAATGTGGAGTGTAAGTACTGGAATGTTGACTGAATTCAATGGTGAGGAATGTGGGGTGTAAGTACCTGAATGTTTACTGGATACTGTGATGAGGAATGTGGGGTGTAAGTACTTGAATGTTGACTGGATACAATGATGAAGGATGTGGAGTGTAAGTACTTGAATGATCACTGGATACTGTGATGAGGAATGTGGAGTGTAAGTACTTGAATGTTTACTGGATACAATGATGAAGAATGTGGAGTGTAAGTACTTGAATGTTTACTGGATACTGTGATGAGGAATGTGGAGTGTAAGTACTTGAATGTTGACTATATACTATGGTGAGGAATGTGGGGTGTAAGTACTTGAATGTTGACTAGATACTATGGTGAGGAATGTGGAGTGTAAGTACTGGAATGTTGACTGAATTCAATGGTGAGGAATGTGGAGTGTAAGTACTGGAATGTTGACTGAATTCAATGGTGAGGAATGTGGGGTGTAAGTACCTGAATGTTTACTGGATACTGTGATGAGGAATGTGGGGTGTAAGTACTTGAATGTTGACTGGATACAATGATGAAGGATGTGGAGTGTAAGTACTTGAATGATCACTGGATACTGTGATGAGGAATGTGGGGTGTAAGTACTTGAATGTTGACTAGATACTATGGTGAGGAATGTGGAGTGTAAGTACCTGAATGTTGACTGAATTCAATGGTGAGGAATGTGGGGTGTAAGTACTTGAATGTTTACTGGATACTGTGATGAGGAACGTGGAGGGTAAGTACCTGAATGGAGACTAGATACTATGGTGAGGAATGTGGAGTAAGTACTGGAATGTTGACTGAATTCAATGGTGAGGAATGTGAAGTGTAAGTACTTGAATGTTGACTAGATACTATGGTGAGGAATGTGGAGTATAAGTACCTGAATGTTGACTGAATTCAATGGTGAGGAATGTGGAGTGTAAGTACTGGAATGTTGACTGAATTCAATGGTGAGGAATGTGAAGTGTAAGTACTTGAATGTTGACTAGATACTATGGTGAGGAATGTGGGGTGTAAGTACTTGAATGTTGACTGGATACAATGATGAAGAATGTGGAGTGTAAGTACTTGAATGTTGACTGAATTCAATGGTGAGGAATGTGGAGTGTAAGTACTTTAATGTTGACTGGATACAATGGTGAGGAATGTGGAGTGTAATACTTGAATGATCACTGGATACTGTGATGAGGAATGTGGAGTGTAATACTTGAATGATCACTGGATACTGGGATGAGGAATGTGGAGTGCAAGTACCTGAATGTTCACTAGATACTATGGTGAGGAATGTGGAGTGTAAGTACTTGAATGTTGAATGTTCTTATTTGTTGAATAAGAAAAATGTCCCAGATTTAATATGACATTATATCAACTGCTAAGATGACAAAATAATAAGCAAATAATTGTTTTTTATGAGATACTCAATTTACCTGAACATCAATGAACAGGAGTAAGTACCTGAATATAGACTGGGTACTGTGATGAGTTATATGGGGTGAAACTACCTAAATAATGACTGGATACTATGATGAGGAATGTAGGGTGTAAGTACCTAAATGTTGACTGGATACTGTGATGAGGAATGTGGGGTGTAAGTACTTGAATGTTGACTGGATACAATGATGAAGAATGTGGAGTGTAAGTACTTGAATGTTTACTGGATACAATGATGAACAATGTGGAGTGTAAGTACGTGAATGTTAACTGAATACTATGGTGAGGAATGTGGGGTTTAAGTACCTGAATGTTGACTGGATACTGTGATTAGGAATGTGGGGTGTAAGTACCTGAATGTTGACTAGATACTATGATGAGGAGTGTGGGGTTTAAGTACCTGAATGTTGACTGGATACTGTGATTAGGAATGTGGGGGGTAAGTACCTGAATGTTGACTGGATACTGCGATTAGGAATGTGGGGTGTAAGTACCTGAATGTTTACTGGATACTGTGATGAGGAAGGTGGAGTGCAAGTACTTTAATGTTTACTGGATACTGTGATGAGGAAGGTGGAGTGCAAGTACTTTAATGTTTACTGGATACTGTGATGAGGAAGGTGGAGTGCAAGTACTTTAATGTTTACTGGATACTGTGATGAGGAATGTGGAATGGAAGTACCTGAATGTTGACTAGATACTATGGTGAGGAATGTGGAGTGTAAGTGCTTGAATGTTGACTGAATTCAATGGTGAGGAATGTGGAGTGTGAGTACTTGAATGTTGACTGAATTCAATGGTGAGGAATGTGGAGTGTAAGTACCTGAATGTTGACTGGATACTGTGTTGAGGAATGTGGGGTGTAATTACCTGAATGTTGACTGGATACAATGATGAAGAATGTGGAGTGTAGGTATCTGAATGTTAACTCAATACTATGGTGAGGAATTGTGGGTGAAATTACCTGAATGTTGACTGGATACTGTGTTGAGGAATGTGGGGTGTAATTACCTGAATGTTGACTGGATACTATGGTGAGGAATGTGGAGTGTAATTACCTGAATGTTTAATGGATACTGTGATGAGGAATGTGGAATGGAAGTACCTGAATGTTGACTAGATACTGTGGTGAGGTATGTGGGGTGTAAGTACTTGAATGTTGACTGAATTCAATGGTGAGGAATGTGGAGTGTAAGTACCTGAATGTTTACTGGATACTGCGATGAGGAATATGGGGTGTAAGTACCTGAATGTTGACTAGATACTATGGTGAGGAATGTGGAGTATAAGTACCTGAATGTTGACTGAATTCAATGGTGAGGAATGTGGGGTGTAAGTACCTGAATGTTGACTGGATACTGTGATGAGGAATGTGGAGTGTAAGTACTTGAATGTTGACTGAATTCAATGGTGAGGAATGTGGAGTGTAAGTACCTGAATGTTTACTGGATACTGTGATGAGGAATATGGGGTGTAAGTACCTGAATGTTGACTAGATACTATGGTGAGGAATGTGGAGTGTAAGTACTTGAATGTTGACTGGATACAATGATGAAGAATGTGGAGTTTAAGTACTTGAATGTTCAATGTTCTTATTTGTTGAATAAGAAAAATGTCCCAGATTTAATGACATTATATCAACTGCTAAGATGACAAAATAATAAGCAAATAATTGTTTTTTATGAGATACTCAATTTACCTGAATATCAATGAACAGGAGTANATGAGGACTGTGGAGTGTAAGGACCTGAATGTTGACTGGATACTGTGGTGAGGAATGTGGAATGGAAGTACCTGAATGTTGACTAGATACTGTGGTGAGGTATGTGGGGTGTAAGTACTTGAATAATGACTCAATACAATGTTGAGGAATGTGGAATGTAATTACCTGAATGTTGACTAGATACTGTGATGAGGAATGTGGGGTGTAAGTACCTGAATGTTGACTGGATACTGTGATGAGGAATGTTGGTGTAACTACCTTAATGTTGACTGGATACTATGATGAGAATTGTGGGGTGTAATTAACTGAATGTTTACTGGATACTGTGTTGAGGAATGTGTGGTGTAAGTACCTGAATAATGACTGGATACAATGTTGAGGAATGTGGAATGTAATTACCTGAATGTTGGAAAGATACTGTGATCAGAAATGTGGGGTGTAAGTACCTGAATGTTGACTGGATACTGTGATTAGGAATGTGGGGAGTAAGTACCTGAATAATGACTGGATACAATGTAATGTAAGTACCTGAATGTTGACTGAATACTGTGATGAGGAATGTGATGAGGAATGTGGGGTGTAAGAAGCTGAATGTTGACTGAATACTCTGATGAGGAATGTGGGGTGTAAGTACCTGAATGGTGACTGGATACTGTGATGAGGAATGTAGAGTGTAACTACCTGAATGTTGACTAGATACTGTGGTGAGGAATGTGGAATATAAGTACCTGAATGTTAACTGAATTAAATGGTAAGGAATGTGGAGTGTAAGTACTTGAATGTTGACTGAATACCATGGTGAAGTATGTGGGTTGTAAGTACCTGAATGTTGACTGGATACTGTGATGAGGAATGTGGAATGTAAGTACCTGAATGTTGACTGAATACTGTGATGAGGAATGTGGGGTGTAAGTACCTGAATGTTGACTGGATACAATGGTAAGGAATGTGGTGTGTAAGTATTTGAATGTTGACTGGATACAATGATGAAGAATGTGGAGTTTAAGTACCTGAATGTTGACTGGATACTGTGATGAGGAATGTGGGGTGTAATTACCTGAATGTTGACTGGATACTGTGATGAGGAATGTGGGGTATAAGTACCTGAATGTTGACTGGATACTGTGTTGAGGAATGTGGAGTGTAATTACCTGAATGTTGGCTGAATACTGTGATGAGGAATGTGGGGTGTAAGTACCTGAATGTTGAATGGATACTGTGATGAGGAATGTGGGGTGCCACACAGCTTACAGCCTTCTCCAAATCTTCAGCTGTCAGAAAGCCACGACCTGGAAAAATATAACATTTAACAGTATTTGGACAGTGAATTGTATTAATACCATGCGTTTCTAAAACAACTTATTAGTATTATCTGTGATGTATACTACAATGCAGCCTACTATTATGGTTGTAACGCGGGACAATCTCCAATTAGGGAAAAGAAAACTCAATAACGTATAAGTTCAACAAAATACTAAATTTATATATACAAAACAAAATAAAGCAGAATACATACAAATTATACACATATCACACTCGCACACCTTCTACACAATTCACAAAGTCTCTGCACAGGTCATCCAATGGCATCCAGGAATACGTTGAATATGGGACCACAGCGCTGTAGACTGAGTAAGACCCTGTACTGACGGTCTGTCCGTTTGACCACAAATATCACATATGATATCCCCAAGGAAAGACACTACAGACAAAATATCACTTGTCTGTCTGCACAGCCGCTAATTGGCTGACTTCCTGGTACAAGAGATCTGACGACACCATGACGTCCGATACCCTCGGAAAAAGTTGGTACTCTCTCTTGTTTCACCCGCAGATACAGTTCTCGGCAAAATGTGCCTTCTCTTCAACATGTATCCAGTGATTCTTTAAGACCAGTCCGACAGCATCTGGTCCAGTATCATGACCAGTCGGTCCTGTCCATCTGGCCTCACATGTCTTCAGCCCGCATAGGTGCCACTACTGGTCCAGTATCATGACACAGCCGGTCCTGTCCATCTGGCCTCACATGTCTGCAGCCCGCACTGTTACTGTAGAAACATAACCACGTTCAATTCACACAATTACACACACATAATTATAAGCTTAATCATGTTCAAAGTTCACATTTCCAATATTATTGCTAAAATGAATCGTTAATACTACAAATATGACTTGAATAACTCTTGAGTAGTGAACAAATATACAAGAAAATGTAATATTGACACGTTTTAACCCGTAAAAGTGCTGATCCACGTGTTTACCAAGTTATATGAAAATTAACCGTACGCTCCCTATGGGCTTCCATACAATGAAATTCAATTAGCACTGAAGTTTTATAACGTTATATAAAATGTACAAATAACCTAAATACCTTCCAAATATCTAATATACATGTTTATATTTGGAAGTACGATTTAACTAATGTACATAAAACCAAAGTACACAATTACAAATCACGGGACGATATGCATGATTGGACCGCACGTTGGAATAATGCATGAACAACATTCCAAGGTTAAATAACCCAGGTTAACATAAAATAACCCACTATTAACATAACATATATCACTACCAACTCCCAATTAAATACTTACCACAGTCTGTATGGTTTCTGTGCCCGTATTATCAACAAAAACATCTATTCCGTCGACACGGCCTGATCGAGCATTGTCATGGCTTCCGCTCGTGCGTACTCACTCCCCCTACGGAATCTCCGTTGCGCCATACGAGTAGTAACGACACGACACAAATAATACAGACACACACGAAACGTACAATAAGAATACACGCGATCGTGACAGGGGGAAACAGCGTCGATAGTGAGTAAACAATGAAGAGGAACAAGCTTGTGCGGGGGAAACAGTGTCGATAGTGACTAAACAATGAAGAGGAACAAGCTTGTGCGGGGGAAACAGTGTCGATAGTTAGTAAACAATGAAGAGGAACAAGCTTGTGCGGGGGAAACAG